TCTCTTTTCTTTATCCTTTTCTTGGAACGAGATGACGACATGGCCAAGTGAAGATTCATCTCCGTACAACAGTCGAGAAAACAACAGAAGATGGAGGGATGAGTTTCAGTTGAACCTCGATAGATTTAAATAACGTATCTATAGAATGTCAAGGTCATTCGTCTGACACGACGTAAATCATCATACACTATCTTTTAGGACTTTCTATAATTTTATATCGTATGATATAAGTTCTAAACTTTTTAGGATTCGAGGTCGTCGTTTGGTACGACATAAATCCTCACATTTTCTCGGGCTATTTGCATATAACATGCAGACACAAGTCTCGAATATCTAAATAACTTGCAAGTCTAAAACATTAAATAATTTCTCTTTCAAAGATATAAAGTCAAACCATAGATTAGTTTGAAATGTCACTGAATCTCCATCAGTATCTTCAACATCTTCTACTTTCACTCCTTTGGATACTGTTCCTACTTGAACCTATCCCACTTGACTTTTCCTATAAACAATCGTGGAAACCTAAACGTTGAATTCTTGAAGACGAAACCCTGATCTTAATCGAGAGTTTTCTTAGATGACTTCAGTTGCCTAAGATGTAATTAACTATAGGGGTTTGTCTCTATAGGAAATTAAGAACCCAGATTAATTTAAACTCTATCTAATCTGTGTATTAGATAGGAGAATTTGTCTGCTATAAAATTCGCAGATCAAAATAGAGTCATAAATTTTTAAGTTTGGATAGTTAAGCCTACTAACAATTGATACACTTATCTCTTTGAGATGATATATCACTTATGGTATCGTGCTCAGCTATTTAAATTATTAGATATATGAGGTCTATCCGGTCTCTTTATTTCTTATTTTCCAAAATAAAAAAATTTACCATTTTCACAAAATTAAAATTATATTATATATTTTTATTTTCCAAAATAAAAAAAATTTATCATTTTCACAAAATTAAAATTATATTATATATTATATTAAATTTAAATTTTAAAATCTTATTAATTTTTTAAAAAAAATATGCCCGACAAGGTGGTCTATGAATAGTGCACATGTGGGAGATACAGGACTAACGAAATTAATTAAGGATTAATTACGTAAATAAATATATACCTTTGAAATTTTATATCTTCAAATCTGTTAACAAATGATGCATGGTGCTTTATATGAAATTGATCAATTTCTTGCTTAGAATTTTATAAAATTATTTCGAACAAATTTTGGGAAATGAAAATTTTGGAGTACTTTTTCTATTGTGTTGAACTTTACCCCGACATCTTGAAATTTGGACATTTCAAACAGCTTCTCGACAGCCCGCCCTTCTCCGAAGTTACCAAAACTTCTTTTCCTCTTCTTTATCTCCTCAATCTTTTCTTCCTCTTCTTTGATTTTGTGCTATACCTTTGTGAAAACTCGCAAACTACTTTCTACACTTCCGACACCAGATTGGTGCCTACTATAAGAAACGAAAAAGATGTACGATTTGTGGCAATTCTCAAAACGGAAGCAAGATGATGGAAATGAAAGTCTCAAATAGCACTAAAATTAGTTTCACACTTACCAATTTTTCTCCATAGTGCTAAATCGAGGTCTGCGGCTTACTAGGTGATGATTCGGTCATCTTTGCTTGCGCCCTGCTACAGTGGTGCGAGCGGAACTCTTTATGCCTAGTCGATTGAACAGGGAGGGAGGAACATGCGACAAAATTAGGTGCATGGAGAGGGATACCGGGAGGGGAGGAATTTTCAAAGGCTCTGGATAAGGATCTCGCATCTTCAACGCATATATTGCATGGGTAATGTCGGTGAGCTACAGGATTCGACAGGGGTTTAATCAAGGGTTAACTAAATTTAATTAACTTATAACTTCCGATTTTTTTATCTTTCAATTCATTCATAATTTACATATAGTATTATATATTGAATTGATCGATTTGACACATAGAATTTTATAAAATTGATTCGGTTGGAAACTAAGGGATGTGGAATTTGTAGTATATTATAAAGTAGCTAAAATTTTATCCAGTTTCTTAAAATTGGTTATTACAATTTCTATCTGGTTATAACAGGTGCTAATTATTTTTTTCTTTCTTATATTGAATATTGGATCGTTTATTCTACCATTCATAACATATGAATTAACACAACAATTGATTTTATTCGTTTTGTTATGTTGATGGTGGAAATGTCTTTATGAGCAACTAACTTGTACTTTAAGATAATCAGTCCATATTATAGAGCTGGGAAGATTTTGGGAGAGAACTAGAAATATTCTATCATTGACGTTAAATAATGTCTTGGGGCTACTTAGAATTATGTGCAAGCTCATTATTGAAGGTAGAGATTTACTTGTTTACAGTGGTGCCTTGATTTTAATTAGGGCAAAGAAAACTAGTGCTGTTGCTTCCTATAGGCAGCATAATGAAAGATGATGCATCACTTTCTTCTTTAGATGATTTCACCTAACTATGCCTATTAGGCTCTGACATGTTTGAGCAGGGCTATTGGATGAGTGAAAGTGGCTTTCTTGGTTAGTTTGCAAGCATTGTGTCTTATGTAAACATCATAGATTTAAGTTTCTACTGGAGTTCATAGAACCAAGAATATTGTAGAAATTATTCATTTTAATTTATGAAACTATGCATGCTAGATCAAATGATTGATCTAGATATATGCTAACATTCATAAATGATTTCTCGAGTAAGATTTTGGTTTTTATGCCTAAGAAGGGTGCTGTCTTTGAGACATCTGAATAGTGGAAGGCACAAATTTAGAAACAAAAACGAAGAGTAAGAGGTTGAGGATTGGCACTGTTTCATACTTTTGGTCTTCTTAGTTTGAGATTTTTTTTCCGGAGTGAGAAGACAATTGTTCTCCATGGCATTCTAGATGAGGAGATTTGCTTACAATTATTTCGAGGGTTTGAAATTGCAGGAAAAAAGATGTTTTTTTCCACAATATTTGATAAAAGAAGGTTGGGTTGCACTATATATGGTATTTGATAGTTTCAGATCATTCATTGTTTAAGTTGAACCAATTTAACATTTGTGTTCCATAAGAAGCTTAAAAATGGCTTTTCTATATATTTAATCTTTTATGTAATGATATATCGATTACAACCAAGATCATATCTTAGCTCAAAATTTGATAACTAATTTCAGTGTAGCATTTGAAATGAAAAAAAGCTTAATATTGCTAATAGGATTTGGGGATGACATATTAAAAAAGAGAAAGGTATGTACTTTATTTATAATCAAATAAAGATATGTTTAGAATGTCTTGGAAAGATCTGGTTTGTAGAATTAAAATTTTGCCACTTCTCCACTTGCTAGTAGGTTTTATTCGTTGGTAACTTTTTATTTTCAGACACCAAAAGGGGCGTGTATACCAACGTGTCTTATGCTAGAACATTGAGAGCATCATATATGCTATGACGTTTGCACATATGGGCAATTAACATGCATTTATTGTTACGAGTAGACAAAGGAATAGGCTTGCTAAATTTCATTAGAATGTAATAAAATGAATCATAAGGCATCTAAAGAGGTATTGCAAGTTAAGATTTAATGTATCGTTGGGACTGGTTGGATTGCAGTGTTGTGGGATTTCTTGATTCAAATTATGCTGGTGACATTGATAATAGCAGGGAGGTAGAGTATTAAAAAATGTATGAAATTATCAAAAATACTATTTGGTCAAGAGGTGTAGTTAAAATTCTTACTTTGCACCATAAAAATTAAGCTGTTTTTTGTCTGCTCTTCGCTTGGCCGAGCATATGCATAAGATGAGAACAAACTTATTGATTATTAGAGAGAAGATTTGAGGATTCAATTCGAAATATTTGCACATAGCATGATTTTGTTGACATGCTTGCGATGATCTCCCTATTTTCAACTTAAAGCAATGCTTTGACTTGATTGTTTTATGTAGCTACTAATGCCGTTCAGTGCCTAGGGTGAGGATGCTTTGTTGATATGAGAAGACTTGTTACTATTGTATTATTTGATGTTATGGAGGTTTTTTGATAAAAGGATGAGAACTTTTTTTGATGATATTAATCCTAAAGAGTATTATAACTACCCATTTTAATAATTAAATGCTACTCCTATTCATACATATCTAGAATTGATAAGCCCTCTATGTTGTAATCTTTTGCTCCTGCGGCGAATATGAAGATGATGTGGAGTGAAAAGACAGAGAGTTTGCAACATAAAGAAAACTAGTGGAAGCAGGTCTGCAAAAATGACTTCAATGACTACATCTCTTCAGGGTTTTTTCTATTTTGCAATTTTAGAATCACTTCTTTGCTTAGAGTTAAGGTGAGAGAAAATTCCCTTCTTTTCGTTTTAGTTTTCTTGCGTGCAAGATTACTTCAAATATGCTGAGATCTTTGCTCTCCCTTGTTTATTTATGAAAAAGGATTGGGTAATGTTTCAAATCCCTCTTCACTTTTTTCTTATTCATATATTTGATAGAGGATCTATTTGTGTCTCCACACGCTTCGTTGTAGGCCATTATTGATCAAACCATGTAAATCATATTGAGGTTGTCTATTATTTTTGTTATATCTTTGCAGTGTTAGTTCTATTTTTCCTATTTTATTTCCCTTCCTCTCTTTAGCAAGGGATGTCTTTGGCACTTACACTGCAAGTAAGGTATAATCACTATCAATTAAGGACCATAATTCATGTCAGCATTTTGACAATTATTTTTGAGATAATTATACATTGTGTGCATATTATAACTGATTTAGTCATTGCTTTTTTGAGCACTCAGTAATGGTTGCTTGCCCGACTTGGAAATGCGACAGACCACGTATTTTCAAGCTAAGCTTTTCAGTGGAATGACATCAAACTTCTTTTTCTAGAATAATGACATTGAGAGAATGAATCCCAGTCAACTAGCTGTGATATCAAAGATTTTTGCTTCTATTAAAGATTGACATTTATTACATCAAATCAATTTTATAAGGTTTATTTTTGTCTTATTTTTCAGGCTCATAAAGAGGCATCGGATTTAGAAAGGAAAAGACTCTACAAACTAGTAGATTTCCAGAAGCTTTCCGACGAAGCCAGTGCTCATGCTTCTCAGAATGAACGCCTTCCTCTTCAGGCAATAGTTCAGATTCTCTACATAGAACAGATGAGACTCCGAAACGCTTTAGATTCCTCCTACCTTGATGACAACCAGAAGATATCCCATCCGTCCTGGAGCATAAGAACTTGCATGCCCAATGGAGCCACTTCGCCTCGAGATAATTACGCATCTCTTAGAAGGGAGAATCGAGAGCTAAAACTTCAGCTTGCGCGGATGCATGTACGGCTTAAAGATCTCGAGAGAGACCATTCCTGCATGAAACAAGACCTCGAAATTTCAAGCAAGCTTAAAATTTTGAGTTCTATTTCAAGGAAGATTGGAAACCTTGGACTATTCGGACGCAAACCTTTCAGAGGAGCGAGTTCATTATCAAAATATTCTCAGAAATCAGACAGCAGCCTCACTGGAAGGACATGTGCTTGATTTAATCATTCCTCTTCTATCTACATATGATTTTGATTGGTAATGTTTTTCTTCTTGAGAGTAGTGTGAAATGTTAGTTTTCTGCTGTTATTATATAAGATTGTTTTTTCATGATTTTTCTATTTCCATAGCTATTTGATGAGACATAAAAACTTGGATGTTCAATATGAGAAGCATGCCCGAGTAAGATGTAGCAGAAGATTTTGCAACTATATTACTTTGTAATAGATGTTTACTCAGTGTTCTGTTTATGTCCATATTAGAATTTAAATATCATTGTGTTCAAGGTTATTGAACCTGTTGCATTTGACAAATCAATCACTCCCATCAGTTTTCTGAAGAACTTGCAATTTTTCATCTTCAGAAGTGTTGATGGAGTTTAAATCTTCTTAAACCAAGTTTTGTGGTTTTATTCTTGTGCTTGACATTTGATTTATTTTTTTTCAAAGATTTTATGCTTTGCTAACTTGAGATAATATCAGGCTAACTAGATAGCTGACGTACATTGTGGGTACCATAATAGGTTTCTAAATAAGGGAAGAGGGGAAATATAGAGGGTTAGAACGATAATGTGCTCTTTTTAATTTATAATTCTATTCATTCTCTCTTTTATTAGGAGATAAACTCTAGATTAGTACAAGATGAATATTATGCTTAATTGGCTCTTTATGAACTAAAGAAAGAGTTATCCAAGTAGTTTAAAGAAGAGAGTGTGAAGTGTTCGAAGAAAGAGCAAGTAAAAGACTTAAGTCTTTAGGGTCTAAAGGTAGCTTACGGCATTTCCAAAACTAGGGAGTCAACTTAAGCTTCAATCAAGTCAACAAATGGTTGAAGATTCAAAGTCAAAGTTTATGAAACTATATGAAGTGAACAGACGTTTCAAGCCCTAGCTTGATATTGTTTCAATCACTTGTCTTTTAAGAAAAGTCACTCAGAAAACTTTAAGGTTAAACCCTAAATTCTAGAGAGAGAAGCAAGGTACACATCATGCAAAAATGATCAACCAATATACTCTCAATATGTGTTGCATATTGGATAAGTATACCACGCATATTGGTGTTGACCAAAACAATCGACAAAATTTAAAGAATGTTCAAGTAACAATACTCAGAATCAATTGGAGATTGAAATTAAAATTTGAAGTTTAATTTGATTTTAGTTTTAAATTTTGAATTTAAGTTTCTTTATTTTGAATTTTTTAGATTTTGGAATTAATAGGATTTTCTCTTGGAATCTTAGGAAAAAACATTCCTAAGGAAGATTGATGGATGAATTATTGAAAGGGAAGAAAAAGGCAAAGAAAGAATTGTGGACGAGATTCTTCGAAGGAGAAAACATCTTAAATTCACTTGAAAATAAAGAATGGGAAAATGATTGATTAGCTTAAAATAGAAAGTATTGAGACTCACATCTCTTTTAAGACTCATCAGATTCATGGTAAAATTCATGGGGACTCACATTTACCTCTAAATTTGATCGAGGAGAGGTGTCTCACTCCATTTAAAGTGGCCTTATAGCAAATCTCAAAGAAGATGAATAATTTCCAAAGTAGAAGGCTAGATGACTCACATCTCTTTGAATGCCAATCTGGGTGGTCGAACATGTGGTAAAAAGCACCGAGACATACATTTACCATCAAGTTCGAATGAGGAGAGGATGTCTTACTCCATTTAAGGTGACCTTACTCCAAACCATAGATTCACAGAACCTAATTACATTATGAAGGACTCACATCCAACCTAAGTGGTGAATAAGGTGACTAGGTCAAGAAGGAATGCCAAGGGACTTACATCCAACTTGAGAGCTAGTTCAAGAATAAGAAACCTTAAATCCATTTTTTTGG